CAGTGAAAGAATGCACTCTAAATGCGCACAGCACAAAGTTAGTCTAGCCAGACTACATCACGTCGCGTATGCGTGCACTTTGTAACTTAGGTGTGTTTTGTATTGTATTTGCGCTAAACCTGCGCAGATTTGGCTTGCATGAACTTCCCCAAGAAATTAATGATTGAACATAACTTACGAAAAGTAACCGGCCAAACTGGCTAGTGATTTGACAGCATTACCCACCACAGCTGATTTTTACCCGCATTTGGCCGGTTAAATGCATGTTAATTTCAAACCCTGAATACGACACATCAAACACAACATCACATGCACACAGCAGCACACATCAAGGACACTGAACACATACAGCAACACACATGACTGTCCTTACACCGCAAGAAAAATTAAACGGGTTTATTTATACAAAACAGAAAGAAAAGAAGCAACATTCCTGCTGCTTACCACATTTACATTTTACATTTGTTTATTAATTTAATTGAATGCTTTTATTCAAAGCAACTTACAACGTGGAATGCAACAAAAGATTCATCTTAAGGAGGCAATAACACTACAAAGATCTAACAATATAAAGAGTTTCAAACAACATTGCTTTGAATAGTACAGGCTAGAACAGAGAGGGCTTTAAGAAATCGTGAAAGAATAAACGTTTTTTTTTTTTAAGTGGTCACAGAAGAGATGAGTTTTCAGCTATTTCTTAAATATTGTCAAGGATTCATCTGCCCAGCTAGGAAGATTATTTCACCATCGAGGAACAGTGAATTATTCTGGAAAGTGATTTTATTCTGCTCTGTGATTGTACCACAAGGCACTGCTTACTCACTAACTGCAGGCTTCTGAAGGGAATGCAGACTCATGAGAGAGAGATTGAAAGCATCAAGCATAGGTGTCTTGAACTTGATGCAAACTGTAACTGGTAAACAGTATAGATAAAAAGGGGTGTGATGTAGGCTCTCTTGGGCTAGTCGTGCTTCTGTGATCTGGATGATTTGTAAAGGTTTGATTGCACATGACAGAAATCCAGCCAGAAAAGCATTGCAACAGTCCAGCCTAGAAATGACAACGACAGCATGTACTTTTAAAAAGAGCTTGATCTTACTAATGTTATGGGGTGCAAACCTTCATGGCCATGCTGTCTTTGTAATGTGGTCTTTAAAGCTCAGTTGGTTATTTGGATTTCTGTCTGATCTGCTTGGGACTATTTTAGGTGATCCTAGCTGGATGGTGAAATTGTGCTGTACAGTTGAAGTGGCTTTGAAAGTTCTGTCTTTGCTAGATTGAGTTGTAGGTCATGTTCTTTCATTTCTGATGAGATGTCCACCAGGCAGCTACCATTGGATCATCTGGTTGTAATGAAAAGTAAAGCTCTGTGTCATCAGCATAGCAATGGTAAAAGAAACCTTGTACCTGTATAATGGGTACCCAGCAATGTAGTGTATATGGAGAAGAGGAGGGGTCCAAGAACTGATCCCTGAGGAACCCCCATGACCAACTGATGTGCTTTGAATACTTCCCCTCCCCAGGCAAACCTGAAAGACTTACCTGTGAGGTACAGATCTAGTGATGCCCAGTGATGAAAGAATGGATAGAATAATCTGATGGATCTAATAGAATGACAACAGATGATTTAAAATCAGCTCTCATAATCCGCAGATCTTCAG